GATAATCAAAGGCCCTCCGCAGGGCTCAGAAGCTCATCCAGGCAGAGTACTGGAAGTTCACATTCTGAGATGTTGAATCATAAGCGCAGTGAGCTTGACTATGTCAGGCATATGGTGCATGGCAATTAGAGTGGAAGCCTTCATGTGAGTAATGAGACTCCCCACTTCTCTTTCCTTAGCTGGCCGCTGGAAAGTTGGCAACACAGGCAGAAACAGTTTGTCTCAGGGAAACTGATCCCACTAAAAGGGAAGTTTTGCAGATGCCAACTTATGATACATGCTTCCACAAAATGCCTGTGTCCAAACATCAGGCCCCTAAATGAGGACCATCACTCAACAGGCTCCACCCTTTTATCTAAAAGCTTCCAATCCACTTGCCAGTGTTTAGATCATAAATATGAATGAACAGAAGACAAAGAGCAAGGCTCAAACATGAGAGATGAAAACTAAAACAAACAAAAAGGAAAGAAGGGAAATATATGCAAGAAATACCATGCAGGATCAGGAGTTGAAAAATTAAAGAAATTCCTTAGGGAGGAGAAAGATGCTGGAGAAGAACGTGGAACAGGATGCTATGGAAAAAGAATATCTGGAGAACAAGTAAGTGATCTTAGAAAAAGTAGTGGCAGAAACAAAAACTCAATAGAAAGGCTGGCATTCAAAGTAGGGAAAATATCACTGAAAATAGGGTTACATGCCAAAGAGATGGGACATAGGAGAGAAAAGATTAAAAAGTTATTAGAGAACATTCAACAGTACAATACTTACTTAAAATGAAAGGAAAGAATTATCAAAGAAATAAGGAAAATCTCCAACTAAAGGGCAGATAGATAACAGATTAAAACTCCACTGAAAGCCTAACACAATAGTGAAGAAAGACCATATCAGAGCCCATCTTCAAGATATCAGAAAATCTTGTTAAAAAGACTCAAAAGCTCTCAGGAAGAAACTAGAAAAAGTTTGAATGCCAACAGTCTTCTGAACAGCAACTGTGGCATATAAAAGACAATCTACTGATGTCTTCCAAATTATTAAGGAAAATGATGCTCGACCTAGAGTTCTATGCCCCCATAAACTATTAATCAAATGTGAAGATAAATTATGATGATAAATTAAAAACAGTTTCCAATATGCAAGGTCTCCAAGAGTGTGGTATTTATACTATCTCCAGAATATTCTGTGGCTGTACTCTTCTGAAATGAGGGTAAGAAATGAGAGAGGAAAGTACAGAATTCAAGAAATAAGTGGTCTGCACAAAAATAATTCCAAGATGTTAGAAAAGCATAATCCCAGAATGACCCCAGAACGATGGGCCTAAAATCAAACCATACTAAAGCAGAGAATGGAGGGCTCTAGGAGGGATGTCCCTGAGAGAAACAGAACTGATGAATTACCCAGTGTCATAAACTGCATTGAGAAAAGGAAAATTTGGGTATAAATTTGAGAGAAGTATAAAGAAAAATATGCAATGATTTACCAAAAAAAAAAAAGCAAAAACATCACATTTTCTTTCACATGCAGAATCAAGACTTAGAAAATAAAGAATGACAGGTGTGTAAAACTGGGGAACTGTTCAGGGGTGGGAACCCTGGGGGGGGGAGGGGGGGGCATGAGAAAGGATGCATAGGAGTGAGAATGACCGAATGCTTCATATGCATGTATAAGAACAGAATAATGAAACCTGTTAAAATTGTTTAAAAAGGGAAGGAGAAGGATTAGAAGGAGTAACAGAGGGATGAATTTTATAAAAGTACACTTACATGCATGCATGAAAATATCACAATAAACCCCCCTGTATAATTAATATCCATTAATAAAAAGGGAGAGAAAAAAATGCTTGGAGTCAACTCAAATTAGATCTGGTCAATTCCAACTTGATCATATGCCTGAAATAAAATATAGATCACTGGTATGTTGAAAATAAAATAAAATATAATGGTGCGCTTTAACTGCAGGAAAAGCAAATAGTTGTGCAACAAAGAAAAACAATTATAAAAAAAAATCAAAGAAATGCAATCATAGTACACTACATGACTCCGCTGTGCACAAATATAGTCCTATACTGTAACTGTTGAATATTTAATCAATAAGAAGCATGATTTAATACAGTGCGGATACAGGAGGGAGAAGTGTATGTACAGAGCTAAATCCCCTTCTATGGTAGCATGTGTGAAAATGGAAAAATCAAAAAGTAGAATAGCAGATAGGCACATTTACAAAAAATAAACCTATATTATCAGCAACAGTTAAATATGTTCATAGTTTTGGGTAGGATTTTGGTAGAGGGAAAGGCAAAATAGGAATTGCTATCTTTTGTTATAATTTTTATAGGACTAAAGTATTTATCATTTTATACTCTGTATGGATATTGTTTTGATTTGAGGTTGAATTGCATGTGCTCCGGAAATATTTCCACTGAAGTCGAATAGCTATTTCCCAATATATTATTGTTTCAACACATACAACAGGGTATTTCACACCATAGCTAATCTATTGTCTGGAAAACAAGACTTAACATTTATAGCAAGTTTCATTCTCACATGATAAATCTTTATATTTGTTTTGTTAATATCTTCTTATTTTCCTTTATTATTAAGAATAAGTAGGTCACTAAAATTAATTTTGTTAGGCCAACTCAGAGGTTCTCATCTGACCCCCCCCCCCACGAAACATTTAGCAATATCACAAAAGAGGTGGGAGACGCTACTGATATCCAGAAGGCAGAAGTCAATGTTGCTAATTTCTTACAATGGGTAGGGCAAACCCCCAAACAAAGATTTATCCATAATGTCAATAGTGTTGAGGTTGAGAAACCAAGCTCCCAGTCTTTGAGGGTTATTTCATCAGAACTCTATACATAAAGATTGATGATATGCAATTTATGACTGACTCAGCTAAATATCTTGGTGCAATGTTGGGAGCAGTTGAGCTGTGAAATATACCTTTGGGAACACTGAGAATAGCACAGACAAAACATCTAATAAGTGATAACAAGAATAAAACACAGTGCTTTGTACCTCAATAATCTCTTTCATCCATGGGTTCTAGAGCACTTTATAGACGAATAATAACTCCTCTGCTTCTCGCGTACTACCTTTTATCTAAGGATCTTAGGCACTTTCACAACACTCTCACAATGTAGGAAGTATTATTATCCCCATTTTATATGTAAGTAAACAGAGGCACAGAAGTTAAGCAACTTGCCCAAAGCCACTCAAATCAGTTGTAGTCAGCATTCCTGACTCAGAGTCTATTAATGCTAAGAGAACTGGTTTAAAAGATGCAGTGATAAATTTATATGGTACAAGTGTTATTCTAGTTCATTGAAACTCTACCATTTTCATTTTTTGCCTTCTTATCTCTACAGACACTTCTTTAAAGACTCTTAACTTCTTGATAGCTTATTAATAGTAGGGACTGTGTTGTGAGCCTTTCTTGAACCAAGAACAGTGTTAATTCTTAAAACAGCTTAAAAACAAATGCCATTATTACTGATTTCATAGTTAAAAAAGCTGCTGAGTTTCAGAGAATTTACACATGTGCTGAAGACCTCTCAATTACTTAACATCTATTTCTGTTCAGGTTGATAATATTCTCTCTACTGTCTTGTCTTGGAGATAGAAAATTCTCTGCTAAATTAGAAGCACATGAATATGAATTCATTTAATATCAAACCCTCCATCTTCCTCCCTTAGAACCCAGAAATCAAAACTAATGACTCAGTACTTGAGAAATTTCAGGTGGTGCACTCAGGTTGGTACCAGCTAGACGAATAGCCAATCAGTTTTACAAAGAAACCTACTCCCAAGGAAGATCTTCACTTTCCAAGGAATTCTCCAGAGCGCTTTTCCAGTTACTATATGTTCATTCCAATAGCTAAACACCAGGATTGTGTGAGTCTCTCTCTGACAATGCAGAACATAGGTATCATTGTCTCCTGCTCCCATTCCTGCAACAGGCACACAGTGATTGCCCACATGGGCAAAACAGGAATACTCACTAGGAGAAAAGATTTGTTAGGTGAATGTGTGACTCAGGGCTCTCGGGAGAAATGTGACAATGGTGTGCCCTGGCATTACTTGGATATAGTGAAGTCAGTCTCCTCTGGTGTCAGTCAGTGGTAGCCCGGAAATCTTAGGTAACTTTCATCTGAGGAGATTTACCCTGTGGCATAGAAAGGATGGCGAAATAGAGCCCCAGCTCAATCTCAGATCAACATCTGTGAAGCTTTAGTACTTTGATAGGGAGTTTTGCTGCTAAATCCACTATCTGTAAAAAGAAGTAAAGATAGGGTTAAGAGGCAAATTCCAAATAAAACCAGGATCACCAATACAATAAATTGTTGAAAGCAGTTTTGACAAGTCTGAAAGCCTAAGATAATAGACTTAATAATTCACTGACAATTTTAGTCTCTCCTCTTTTAGCTGATCGCTTTCCACCAGGACATTTGTTTTCATAGAAGGAGCGTCCTGGGTTTATTTCAGTTCTGCTCTCCTGCCCTCTAGTCTGGTAATCTGAAAAGGGGGCAACGACGAGGAAAAGGAACGCATGGCTACTTTCCTACACTGACTTAGCCAGGTCCTGAATCATCACAAGTCGGTCGCATTTTCCTTCAGCAACGGGCGAAACTTTTCTCCCGAATAATACGATGTTGTACTTAAAAGGAAAGAGTGGTGGGAGACGAGCGAGACGGAGAAGAGGAGCAGGGAGAGGGGCGTGGAGTGTCGTCCCCGCCCCGGAATCCCAGGCTCCGCGAGGCTGCAAGCCCAGGAATGCGCGGTCGGACCGCCGGCCGGGGGAGGCGGGCCCCAGGCCGGGGCGGGCAGGACCGCGCGTGGCGCACCTGAGCGCGGGGGGCGGGGCGTCCTCGAGCACTGCCCCGCCCCCCCTGCGCCGCACCCCTCGTGCGCGCCTCGGCACTTTCCGTCCCGTTTCGGCGCCGCTCGGCTCCCCTCCGCCCCTCGCTCCCTCCCTCTCTTCTTCCCTCCCTCCCGGCCCGGGACAGTGGTGAGCTCCGAACCGCGAGTTTGTTGCGGCTTCTTCCGCGCGCCCGGAGAGCTTCGGCTCACCTGAGCACTTGCGCCTCGTCCCTCTCGCAAACTTTTGAGAGGTAAGAGGCCGCTCGGGCCACCCGCGTTCGACTGGGGCACCGGTCCCCTCTCGGCAGGACAGCTGGGTCCCCGCCTCCCCGGGACCGGTGGGAGGCTCGGCGCCTAGCCCCGGAATGGAGGAGTGGCGAGAACCTCGGGCTGGCTATAGGACGGGCGGACAGGTGGCGGGGGCTAGCTCTCTCCCCGCGACCGCCGTGGGCGCGCTGGGGCGGGCGGGCGGGCAGGCCGGGGGTGGGGTCTGGCGTCTCCTCCCTCGAGGGGCGGCGGGGCCCGCGGTGTAGGTGCGCAGAGAAGCTGCAGGGTGGGACGCGGCGGCTGCGCCTGCGGGGACAAGGGGGACTCCCGGGGGCGCGGCCGGGGCGCAGACCCTGGGGCCGGGCCGGGACCTGACGCTTCCTCTCCACCCTCTTTTGTGTTTCATCGCAGACCCGCCGGCTACCGGGAACGCCCGGGGGTCGTGCCCCTCGCTCGCATCCTTCGGGTGGGAAAGCAGAGGCCGGAGAAGTGGGAGTCCGGCTGGCCCCTCTGGGAATATGGCGACCGGTGGCTACCGGACCAGCGGCGGCCTCAGCGGCAGCACCACCGACTTCCTGGAGGAGTGGAAGGCGAAGCGCGAGAAGATGCGCGCCAAGCAGAACCCCCCGGGCCCGACCGCCCCGGCGGGGGGCAGCAGCGACTCGTCCGGGAAGCCCCCGGTGGGGGCTCCAGGCACCTCTGCGCCCGCGGAGGTCAACAACAACGTCCCGGGTGGCCCGGCCGCACCTGCTGCCCCCGGCCCTGGTGGTGTGAACTGCGCGGTCGGCCCCGCCGCTCTGCCCCGTGCGGCCCCCGGTTCCCGGCGGCCAGAGGACGAGAGCCCCGTTGCCGCCGCTGCCGCCTCGGCCTCGGGGATCCCGGCGCCCCGGGGCGACGAGGAGGAGCCGGATGGCCCCCCGGAGAAGGGCAGGAGCTCCGGCCCCAGTGCCAGGAAAGGCAAGGGGCAGATCGAGAAGAGGAAGCTGCGGGAGAAACGGCGCTCCACCGGCGTAGTCAACATCCCCGCCGCAGAGGTGAGCGGGCGGGCAGGGTCCGGGCGCCGCCTCGGGTCCCCCACTCGGCTTCCCCCGCGCGTTCCGTGCTGCCTTCCACTGATCCAGGCCGGCAGAGTTTTCCTCTGAGCACACGCTTCCTGGGAAGTTCCCCAGACCCGAACTAGGACATGTGCTTTCCCAGTCTTCCCCAGTACAGTCTCAGAGCCTGGTAGAAAGACACTTGGGGCTCCAGACTTGCCTTACCTAGACCTAGCTGTTTTTGTTTGATCAGTTAGGAAAATTGATTACTGGTGATGATGACACGCTCTACTTTCCCACGTGTCCATCTCAAGTTATCAGATTGCTTATCGCCTCTTCCCTCTTAGTAGTGTTCACAAGCACCTGTAGAGAAACTGTGTGGCTTAGCAATATCCAGAGTAGCTTTGTCATGCAACGAACTCAAGATGAGTATATCCAAAGGGCATCTGCGCTGTGTCATCTGTAAACCAACTGTTTGTAAATAAATACTGGTCCCCAACACAGGCACTTTATTTTTCTTTCTTTTTCTGAGTGATAGTTAGGACGATAGGGATGCAACCCATACGCTTAGAGATGTCTTCTTGTATTTAAATATCTGGAAGACATTTGTGGTAGGTGTGCTTTTTTGTTGCTGTTTTGGGTATTCTTTGATCAGTCTCAAATCATGTCTACAGACAGCTGCAGCTTCCCATTAGATGACTGGAAAGAAATTCACATAATGTATAATCGCAGCTCCATCTGTGGGAATCAAAACAATGCCATACAGGTTTGGGTTATTTTAATAGCCCTGTGTTTGGAAAATGGTTGAACTACCATGTTTCACCCGAAGTAGCCACATGTTTTTTTCTCAATGGCTGTTTAGGTCTCACATTTTTTAGCCTTTTATTCTTGGCCTTCTAATTTACTCAATATTGCTATCCACTAAATAACTTTAAAATTTACTGACTTTGTGCCGGGGATGTAGCTCATTGGTAGCGTGTTTGCGTAGTGTGCACAAGGCCCAGGGTTTGATTCCATAGCTCTTAAAAAAAAAAAAAATTAAAAAAAAAATAAATAAAAAGCCAGGCCTGGTGATGTAGCCCTGGAATCAAATATACCTCAAGTTTTAAGTATTATGATTTCCATACCTGGAAAATCAGTGTGTCTCCACAGTGTGTATTTTTATATGAATGTTTCAGGGAGATTTTTATCAATCCCAGAACTGTCCTCTGTGGTTTGCTACTTTGTCTAAGTGTCTGCTATTCATTAAACTACTTTAAAAGGAATTCATACAAGTGGTAATCAAATTTCCAGTTTTTTTTTTAACTTAAAATATGAAGATTAAGGGGAAATTGAAGACAAGTCTTTGGAAAAGCTACATTCCTCAACTTTAAAAGTAGCTTATGGTCCAAATAAAAGAATTTGTCATTTTCAGTATTTTCTCATTGTCATCTGACAGGGTCTTATTTTGGGAAATATCTTGGCAGATGCTAAACTTCACTTTTTTGGCTGCTTGTGCCAAAATTATTTCTTAAGTACTTTTAGAAAAGAAGAGTAATGTTTAGTAGGGGAAATAAGTCGAGTAAGTATGTTGTGAGATCCTAAGAATCATCCTTTGTCAGTACTCCTCCTTTGAGTGAGGGAGTGCAGTGCTGAGAATGCAGATGACTCCCCACTACAATTGAGTCTAATACTTTGGAATGTTTTTCGTTTGGGTGTTGGCAACTCCTAAATTTAATCTTCCTCAAAAACAAACAACCCAGGGTACCTTTTTTTTTTGGTCTGTGGAATTTGAACCTTTTTTTTATTGAATAGGAAATTGAGGATTGCTTTCTTTAGTGGTAACTATGGCTGTATCTGTTTCAAGCTGTAGGAACCAACAAAGTAATATTTTACCACAGTATCTAATTAAGAAGTATACTTCTTGAGTACTTCATTCCCATTTTTTAGGTTTTTAGGAGTCTTTCAGATTGTGTTAACAATGGTGAAATATATATTGTAAACCTTTTTGATATTTTATGTTGTTTTTTTAGAATTGTTTACCATGCCTCTTAGTAGTTTTCCACTTGCTGTGGGGGTTTCTTGCGTAATATACTTTAGCATTCCTGTTTTAAAAAGTCATATTTTAGAAACCTTTCTAGTATTAAAAATATTGTGAAAGGATGAAAACCACCAATTTCTCAATAGTTAAAAGTAGACTTATATTGTATCTGATGTTGAGTAAGACAGTATTCCCAACTAAGTTTGTATTAGATTACCATGTAGTTTGTATGTAGTGAGCCTGTTTTAGTGGTTGATAAACGTTACTTCTTCAAAAAGTACATATTAAACATCTGTCTGACACATTCATTGTGGCTTTCTTTAGCTCATATTATTAGTTATCTAGTCTTATGTAATATTGTTGTAAAGGAACCTGACAACAGCTAAAGATACCAAAATCAACTAGGAGATAGTTTTGACAAGGAAAGCAGATTAAAACTGAAACTGACTGATGGGGAATAGGATACAAGGTGGGTAGTGTGTGTGATGACTATAAAAGGCCAAATATCCAGATGCTCTTTAATGAAATAAACTTTAGTTCTTATTTACTAAAAGAAAAATTTTAGAACTTTTTCCTAAATTTTTACTTATTCTTTTTTTTTCTTAGGACAGTTAGCCTGTGTTGGATAATTTGGACATGACAGCATACTTCCTGCCAGTAATTTTTGTGTATATTTATCAGATCAGATAAATGTTTATCACGTGTCCATGTTCAAGGCACTGTCCTAAGCACACTGGAGAAAACAAGCAAAATAAAGCTGTGTCTATTCTCAGTGAGCAAGGCTGTACTCTAGAAAGAAGGATGAGGCATAATTACATGAAAAAACTTAAGTGCTGAGTTAATAATTTAAAAGCATTGCAATGCAGTACCTAATTGATTATTAGTATACTGTGTGTTTAAAGGGAAGAGCTGAGTGGTCTGGGACAGACCATTGAGGATGAGAGACTTAGTCTGAGTCGTAAATTTTCTATACATACGTGTTTACACATACATCCTCACATCCACATGAGTGTCAGAGTGCCATGGTTCTTAACTGTAGCAGCACACTGATACTATGGTGCTGATCGATCTTAAAGTAAGTGCTCCCCCATGCTGATTCCTTGCCCTCCCTGCCCTCCACTCCCACTCTCTTGTGATTTAATGGGTCTGGGATGGATCCCAGGAATTAATGTTTTTATAAGCTCCCCGTGTAATTTTAATGTGAGTCAAGATTAAGTATTGGGCTGCAGTTTGGGAATACAGAAGTGAAGAGAAAACAGGCATTGCCCACAAGGTGCTCTCAAGTAAAATAAGGAATGTGGTAAGTTGACAGAATAGTCTAGCTTAGTCCCTAAAATAGCATTTTGAACTCAAAGAGGAGATTTAGTTGAAGAAGACTTGCAGACAATTGTGCATCTCTTTTAGAATGTCTATGGAGTGATGGCCATTGAGTAGGTTTGCATGAATGAGTTCATGGAGATAAGTTTCCACAGAAAACGTATTCTTTCCATAAGTAAGGGTAGCACTGAAGTTTTGGTTTAAGTATAAAAGTAAACATACATTTAAAACTTATTTGTGTTCTGGTGGCTAAAGTGTTTTTTGTGCTTTCTTAATGTTCACAGCAATCCCATGTGGTAGTTACTCTTTTTTATCCCCATTTCCAGAGGAGAAAATGGAGGCTTAGAGCTTAAATGACCCATGATCACACAGACATGTACAACTATTATGTGTCTTTTAAAAAAGATTGCATAGAAAGTATGTGATAGAGCAGTATTTTAAATGGTTTGTGATTTGTATATGTGTGCAGCTGGGGGAGGGAAGCGGATTTTAAAGAATTAACCTGTCTTCCATTATATGACATGCTTACTTTTTATTAAAGTCATGTTAAATGATTTAAACAGCTAAATGAGGAAAAGAGTTAAGGTATGGAATTGGATAGAAGTTAACTTCAAATTTGTAGGCTCAGAGATTACTTTCTGACCCTTTGCAGGCTCAGAGATTTCTCTCTGATCCTCTAATCTATAGTTATTTTTGGCAAGATATTTGAACACCAGGATACCAGCAAAATGTAAAGTTATTGTTTGGCTAGTAGTTCAAAAATGTGGACTTCACGTTACTTAAGTAATATATTGTTTTTCTGTCAGGGTAGGCTTACTGCTGCATAATTTGAACTTAGGACAGCAAAAGGGAGGACAAAGGAGGATGTACTACACACAGCACTTTCACACACACCATTTAGCTCTTAGTTACTGAGTATACTCCTTTAACATTGCATAGGACATGTTCTACTTGGTAAGCTTTATAAATCCAGGTAAAGTAAGAAAGGCCTTTTAGTATTCTCATTATGTTCCAGACTGTCTACCTTTCTATGTGATGAGTCATGGGAGAAACTAATAATGAGTCAGAGCTGGAGAAAATTTGACTTGTGAATGGGGTAGATATGGTAAACACTGAGTCTGCTTAATAAGATACTAAGCTCAACTTTCTTAAATGTTTGAGTTCACTGACAAAGCAAATTGAAAGTTTTAATGTTAGGATTTGTAATGAGTAAAGTAGATGACATCAATGGCACGATTATTAAGACTGATCTAAGTACTTGCGTTAATTGTCACTAGGTGCATTTATTTGTCACTACATCCCTAAGGAAAAAAGGGAAAAGAGGATAAGTTACTTACGTGTGTGTGTGTGTGTGTGTGTGTGTGTGTGTGTGTGTGTGTGTAGCAAGAAATAGAGGTCGTTTGTGTTCATAGTCTGGTGCTTAATAACCACATTACTACTGTGACCAAACGTACATGCCAGATACTTAGTTTAAGAAAAGCAGAGATAATGGAATAATATATCTTAAGATGTTAAATAATTACTATGAAATTTGAAATTAGACCTGTGTGTAAAAAGTGAAATGTAACTGTAATGAGAAAAATTGAAAACAAATAAATGTGTAGATACTAGCATTAAAATTCTTCCTTAAAATCATCATTATCAAACTTCTGGCCTGTTTTTG